TGTGTTATCTGAATACTGACTTGGATAAGAGTCCTTTCTCTCCTCTCTGAGGAAATCCATGGCTCTCTGGTCATCCACCTAGTTTTTAAAAGTTTTAAAAATAATCCCTACCACAAAAGCTTGAGCTTCTAAAATGAACATGTCAGTGATGACATGGATTGGAACAAGTTATGGACAAATATGCCTACCCTTTGGGATAAGGCAGGTACTCGAAGTCTCGTGGTTTCTCCGTTAACTACTAACTAAATTGGAATTTGGGTACAAGGGAAGGAGAAACACTATTTGCTCAAGTTCTTACTTGTTCATAGTCTTCCAAATACCCTACTGTTGGCCCTGTGAGTCTGTTAGAATTTTACTAGTGTATGATAATAGTTATAGGCAGAGATAAAATAAACTTGATTCAGCCATTTGTAATTGGCAAACAGGTGCAGTGTATCCACACAGGAACATCTTTTCTGGGCTTCCTTGAGGAGTGGGGTAGAGAAATGATCCCAAGAAGCATTAAAGATGATGTTTATACTATCTGGCTTTATGGGCTCCATGCTTATGAACTGGGGAGTTTCAGTGGTAGAAGTGAACTGTGTATGTCTATCTCTGGGTGGCTAAGTGTAAATCATTCAGCCCCTATTGCTGTTGGCAGATTCCTAAGGATCATTTATATTTTCATGCATCCAAAATTTAGAGAAGTCACAATTCTGTAGGCAATAAAACTAGGTATTTAAGAATCCTTTACATAAATTGGACATCTGCGGAATTTCTTTTTATTGTAAACATAATGTTAAGACCATATGCAAGAAAGTTTTAACAAAGAGAGAAAAATTTGAATATTGTGATACAGGTCATTTCTCCATATTCAATTTGTTTTTGGAATCAGTCACTGGTTGGAAAGAGTGATATTCTCAGAACCGATGGTAATACCTTTGCCTGGCCTGGTGGCTCAGACATATTCTTTAGGGGAGCCAAGCGTCATTTGGCTATAACAGGAAAATCTTCAACCCGAGAATTTTCTCTTTGTGGTCAGTGGCGGTAGACTCACTAATGGTTGTGCTGCTTCTGCTCTTGACCGAACACAACAGCCAGACTTATCCTTCGAATAAGGTCCAATCATGTCACTTTGCTTCTTAACATCTCCAGTGGCAGCCCATGTTATTTGGAGTAAAAGCCTACAGGCATGGGAGCTGTTATTGCAGGGACACTTTTACCAAAAGTGTTGTGGATACAGATCCCATGTCTCCAGCTTTCCAGCTCAAGTTATTAATTTCTCTTCTACCTACAACCCAACTGTAAATCAATAATATATTTTAAGTTTTTATATGATGGCATTCAACTTGTATATTGGTTAAGGTAGTAGTAGTTGCTATAAGATAAACATAAAATCTCTGTGACCTAAAACAGTACAAGTTTACTTCTTGTTGCCATGGTCCCTTGAACCTATTTGTGGTTGGACAGCATTCCATGTGGTCAACAGGAACCCAGGCTCCTTCACTCTGGGAAATTTAGATTCCTCCCTCATCTAAATTTCTGGGGACTCCCCATTCAGCCAGGAAGTAGAGGAAAGAAAGAGGGAGAATTGTACTACAAGATTTGTCTGCCTACATTCCACTGGCCAAAACTCAGTCACTTGATCACACTTGACAATAAGGGGTGCTGGGAAATGCAGTCTGTATGCTGAGGAGGAAAGAAAATAGTTTGTTGATCAGCTAGTAGGCACTGCAGTACCTATTTGTCATTAATTCCCTTAGTTATTAGACCATGTGTCCTGTTACATGATTTCTCATTTCCCAGTTGTTTATCTCTTGTTCCTAAATAGCCATCATAGTTTGAGGTTATGATACATTCTTCTTGGATGGGCAGCAGAAGGGAAGGGGCGAATCTCTTGGAATAAGACATACTTGGGTTTATGTCATAACTGGGGCATGTACCCCCCACGTGCCTTTGAGTGAGTTATTTAACCCCTCAGACCATCAGCTTCTTTGTCTGCCAAAGCAGGTATAAAATACCTGCCTCATGAAACGACTTAAAGAGAAATGTATCAGACAGAGGTGAAGAGCATGGATCCTGGAGCCAGGCTGCTTGGGTTTGAATACTGGTTGTGTCTCCTGTTGCTAAATGATCTTGAATGAGCTTCTGTTTTCTTATGTGTAAAATGGGCATCCTAATATTACCTACATCAGAGAGGTTTTGCGGGGAAATTAAATGAGTTGGTATATCTAAGGCACTTAGAATAGTGCCAGAAACATAGAATAAATGATATACAAGTGTCAGCGCTAATCCCAGAGTATCTGGTACATATTTAGGCTCTTGATAAGTGGTATTTTCTCCGGATCATTGATTGGTATGATTTAAAACATTATTCTTTTCAGTATCCTTGTAGACTGAATCCCCCCTTGCCCACAAAAGATCTCCCCAAAGGACTCTTCAGGGATGAGATTTCAAGCATCTTAATGGGATGTCAAGGAGCTGTTTGTTTAGAGAGCCCTTTCAAATGACTACTTGTTTTGATTACTTCAATGTTGGTTCTGGGTCCTGGTGGTAATTGCCCCAGAGAGGACATTTACCCAGGGCCTTCTGGAGTGGTTCTTACAATTGTGTGATGTGAGGTTAAATAGCACTCATTAACAAGTTAGGGTGCACAATGGAGAGGGGAGGTTATTCAGGGTATTAGGCTCATCTGAGTAGAAGATTACAGTTTGAAAATTGTTTAAAGAGAAATATAATTAGAATAATGGGACAACATAATGGGAAATCAATGCTATTAATGTAACCGCTAATTACTGCATTAGAACATTTGTCCAAATCCCTTCTCCTTAAAACTAAGAACATGAAATTAAGTCACCACAGTAGACAATTCACATAGAGGGATCCAGGGATCTCAGCCTGCTCTGGAAAATTTGCCCAGAACAATTTGCTGTTGTACCAAGCATCAAGCCGGACCCTCTTCATTTCAGGGGGAGAGTCCATACAATGCAAGAGAGGACTTATATTTTCATTCAATTCATATTGGTCATTTTAGGTCTCATGGATTCTGGGCATTAAGAATGTCCTAACACTGTCTGAAAAAGACTTTTGGCTCCTGTCCTTGACAGATAGACCAATGATTTCATAATAAGTAGAAAGGAATGTGACAACCTGAATGCTCTGAGGACTGGGATCAAAGGCCAAGTGTTCAGATTTGAGGTATCCAGGTATAGTAAAGACCCCGATCTTCTTGGTGTCAGTGTGAGTTTAGGCTGGAACTCAGGGAACACCATTTGAGGTGATGAGAGGAGTCCAAAAATAAGGTGCAGAGCTAGGAACTGGAGCAGGAGGCTTGGGACACCTAGCTAAATGGTAGAGATGGAGGTTTTCATTTTTTTAAATTGTGGAAAAGTACATGTAACATAAAATTTGCCATTTTAACAATTTTTAAGTGTACAAGTCAGTGGCATTAATTACATTCATGATGCTGCACAACCACCATCACTATCTACTTCTAAAACTTTTTCATCACCTCAAACAGAAACTTGGTAACCATTAAGACATCACTCTTCATTCTCTTCTCCCATTAGCCCTTGATGATCTCTCATCTACTCGCTGTCTCTGTGAGTTCACCTCTTTTGATGATTTAATGTAAGTGATGGCGGTTCATATACCTGATTGTTCTTTATCACCTTCCCTGGGACCTTCACTTCTCTGTTTGTAGAACCTGCACTGACTCACATGGAAGTGGCCTTTGGAATTTCCCTCTTAGGGAAAGAGAAGAGGGGTTGGACCTTTACCAGGAAAGCCAAGTAAATGCCAAGGTGAAGTCATCTGTTCAGTTAGGCAAGGAGTCAAGATGCTATTTCTTTAAACAAATGAAAAAAAAATAGCTGTATTTTGTGAAGACAGTAAAAAAAGGACAAGGAACCTGACTGCCTGATTTCAAACTCTGGCTCCACCACTTTCTGTGTGTCCTGGGGCAAGTTCCTTGACTCTTTATACCTCATTTCCTCATCTGTACAGTGAGTTAAATAATAGCAGTCCACATCATAAAATACTTTGTGTGGACTAAGTGAGTTATAAGAAGCTTAGATTAGTGCTTTTTTAAGTATAGGGAGCAATGTATTAGCCATAAGTATGACTTACCAGACACTCCATATACACTGCTTATCTAATCTGCAATTCTCATATTAGCAGATATTACCTATTTTACAGATACGGATACTACTAGTTTACAGATGGGGAAACTGAGGCTCACAAAAGTTATAAGCAGCTTGCCTAACATCACAACTAGTGAGTGAGTTGCAGTGTTAGGATTAGAACCCACATGTGTCTACTGCTAAAACTCATCCTCCTTTAATGGCTGCCTCTCTAGGATTATCTTCAGATGTTAGCCAAAGATGGGGAAGGAGGGAGCTAAGGCTTATGGAGAGCCTACTGTTGACCAGGCACTTAGTTCTCTTGCTCCCATTGGCCGTAGCCAGCCAAAACATGTACCAATGTTGGAATCAGCTTCTGCAGGGCACTGTCGGAGGTGAAGAATGAGAACCTCTACGGGCCGTGTCTGTGTCTCCTGTGTCTGAGGTCCCTTGTCCTATCTCCACATACCAAACCTGCTTTCACGCTCTCACTGCCTTTCTCTTCCTTCCACATTAGGGACTTTTGTGGGAGAGTATTGAATACTGTGCTTGTCTTCTGGGCACATGTCCAAACAAGATAAGCTACTATTATGCTCAGCTGGGGTCCTTTCTCAGTGAAAAGGAAACTGGAGAACAGAAAGGTTGATCAGCCCTAGGGCAGAGCCTCAAAATGACAAGGATTCTTTCTGGTGTTTTGCAAGGGAAAACCACAGCTTAGCTTTACTGCCCAGTAAAAGAGTTTAAGTGGGTAACTGTGATCATCTAGGGTGACTTTCTCTTCTTTTCCTCACACACTCCCACAAGTGTCAATTCCTCTAGATCATTAATTCTTAAAATGTGGTTCTTTTACCAGTCAATTCCTCCAGATCATTAATTTTTAAAATATTGTTCTTTTATCAGAGTCACCTGAGAACGGCTTTAGACCAGTGGTTCTCAAACTTGAATTTATATCAGAATCATCTGGAAGGCTTGTTGAACCACAGATTGTTGAAACCCATCCCTGGAGCTGATAGTTTGGTAAGTCTGGGGTAGCATCTCAAGATTTGGACTTCTAATATTTTCTCACATGTGGCCTGTGGACCTGCATTTGGCTTCACTTGGGTGCTGGTTATAACTGCAACATCTCAGGGCCTGCCCCAGGAGCACTTGCTTGTGCCGCTCTAACTTAAACGTGCATGGGACTGGAACCCAGGCATCTAGTTAATATGCATATTCTGAGTGGATTGTTCTGAGAGTCCACATTGCTTATGTGCTCCCAGGTGATGCCAAGCCTTTTAGTCCCTGGATCCACAGTTGGAAGAGTGAGTTGTAAAGCTTTCTGCATATTGGAATCACCTGTTTTTCATTCTTCTTTTTCTTCTCCTCTCACTCCTCTTTATTTTTTTTTTCTTTTTTTTTTTTTTGAGATGAAGTCTTGCTCTATCCCCCAGGCTGGAAGTGCAGTGGTGTGATCTTGGCTCACTGCAACCTCTGCCTCCTGGGTTCAAGCAATTCTCCTGCCTCAGCCTCCCAAGTAGTTGGGACTACAGGTGTGCACCACCACGCCTGGCTAATTTTTGTCTTTTTAGCAGAGATGGGGTTTTGCATATTGGCCAAGCTGGTCTCAAACTCCTGACCTCAAGTGATCCGCCTGCCTTAGCTCCCAAAGTGCCATTACAGGTATGAGGCACCGTGCCCGGCCTCAACTGTTTTTCAAATATCCTAATCCTTGCCCCCATCTCCAACAAAGCTTCTGATTTAAACTGGTCTGGGGTGGGCGCTGGGATTCAGTATTTGAATAAAGGTGTTCTCAGGATTCTAACACGCAGCAGGGTTGAGAATTTCTACTCTGGGTTTGTACATTCCCATACCCCTTGCATGTATGTCCTGCCCTACCTTCCTTTCTGCTTTCTTTCCAAACTCTTCTGTTTAAATTTCAGTTAGACTCCCAACTGATGGCTCTCTCTGGCTCCTGTTTATCATTCAAATTGCCTCAAGATTAATCTTTCTAAGGCAAGTTCTGTAGGGACTGCTTTCTTACAAAAAACTTCAGTGACTCCTCATGTACTCCAGGAGTTAAAAAAAGGACCTTGCACTTCACCCTTTGTCCTCTTTGGGTTGCTCCAACCTACTTTTCCAGCCGTATCGCCCTCTTGACTGAGCCCTGTATCTTAGAAAAACTAAAAGACTAAGATGTACCATATGACCCAGCCATCCCATTACTGGGTATATACCCAAAGGATTATAAATCATGCTGCTATAAAGACACATGCACACGTATGTTTATTGCGGCACTATTCACAATGCAAAGACTTGGAATCAACCCAAATGTCCATCAGTGACAGACTGGATTAAGAAAATGTGGCAGCATATTACACCATGGAATACTATGCAGGCAGATAAAAAGGACTGAGTTTGTGTCCTTTGTAGGGACCATGGACTGGCAGCTGGAAACCATCCCATTCTTAGCAAACGTATAAAAGAAACAGAAACACAAACACCGAATGTTCTCCTCATAGGTTGGGGGGACTGACATGATATCACTTGGACTCGGGACAGAGGGTAAAACATACACACCGGGGCTATATGGTGAGGGGAGGGGGGAGGGATTGCATTGGGAGTTATACTGATGTAAAATGCGAGTTGATGGGTGCTGATGAGTTGATGGGTGCAGCCACCAAACATGGCACACAGTTACATATGTAACAAACCTGCACGTTATGCACATGTACCCTAGAACTCAAAGTATAATAATAATAATAAAAAAAAAAAAAGAAAAACTAAAAGAATCTCTCGTCTCTGAATGCACCTTGGGTTTTTCTATCTCTCTCCTTTTGCTTGGGTTGACCCTCTGACTGGTCGATATTTTCTACGTCTGCCAGTCGAAGGCGATCCCTGCTTTACTTACTCTGTGAGAGCCTCCCCCATCCCTGCAGCTGTTGTAATCCTCTTCCCTCTGGTGTTTTATTTGTTGTGTTCTTACAGCACTTAGATTTGTTTTCTTGTATTTCTGGAATTTCCATTATTCTCTTACCCTCCTTTCCACATTATAAACTTTTGGGGGCATAGACGCTCTTTTTGCTTATTTTTTGCATCCCTTGCAGGGGCTACTACAGTGCCTGACACACAGTAGGTGTCCATAAAGATTTGTTAAATTGTATCGAATCGAGTAACAAGTCTCCATGTTATTAATTCCATTTTGACCTCTCTGCCATATGCTGACATTTTAATTTTGCTGCCTGACATTTAGCAAATCCGTAGGGATTCTATCTAAATAAACGCTTTTCGGAAAGCTCCAAATGTTCTTCATAAACATATGGTGTAGCTTCCATGGTGTCTTCAAAAGTTTATAATGTTTTAATTGTTTGTTCTTTGTACGAGTTTGTTGGCATTTTGGCTTCCTCGTGTCTCAAGACAGTGTGGGATCCAGTAGGAAGTCAGAGGCCAGATTCATCTCACTTTCAAAAACTCATTATGTTCCTAAAAACTTCGGAGTGCAGTGGTAATGAGCCATGATTTTGGGAAGCCAGTCCAGCTTCGATGACTCCTCACTGTTCGGGTAGGACCTTTGTGGTAGTGAAGTAGGTGATGGAACTTGGGAGGGAACGTCGTTTCCAGCAATTAAATCAGGCCCACAGCAGTCGCTTGCAATCCTATAGGAACAATTATAAGGAATCCCCTCTCATTTGGCACAATGAGATACGAACATTTTCTAACGGGCTAATTAGTGTAGTTATCATATTTTAGCCAAAAATGTCAATGTGTAGGATTTAATTAGTCTGCCCTAGGATTATAAGATATCTTCTTAGTTTAGTCAGTCTGTCAGCATTTTTAGGATTTGGAAAGATGCCAGGAACTATCACCTACATACTTGCGTCAACTTTTAAGCCCTTTTAGAAAAATTACTATACAGAGCAAGGGAAGTTTCCAGAAGTAAAAATCTTTTGAGTTAGATAGGTGGATGTATTGTGACCAAAGGAATATGTAGTCAGCGGAAAGTGGAAAAACAGGCCCTGACATCCTGTTGTTCTTACCTGTACATTTCAGGATGTAGGGAGTTCAAATGTTGTAGTCTCTGATTTAGATTTCTTTAGTTTCTAGTAGTGGTACCTGATTCCAACTGGTTAAGCTACATGGGAATTTATTAGCAGGACATCAGATAATGCACAGAATTGAAGAAAATTCTTAGCTAAGCCATGCAAAGTCGGGGACCAGAAGTTTTTCTGGTGGAATGAATGTGTTGCAAATAGTTTCAGTTCTTTTGGTTTTCAGAAGAGATTTGAGTTGGTCTATGTTGGGTCATTAAATGGGTTGAAAAGTGTCCCACTAAAATTCATGTCCACCCGGAACCTCAGAATGTGACCTTAATTAGAATAGGGTCTTTGTAGATGTCATTAGGTGGTGATGAGACCATATTGGATTAGGGGAGGCCCTACATATGATGAGAGTGTCCTTATGAGTGACAAAGAGAAGACACAGAGACACAGAAAAGAAGATGTTGTAGAACAGAGGCAGATATTGGAGTGATTTGTCTACAAATCACAAGGAACACTACAAGGAACACTAAGGATTGCCAGCAATCACCATAAATTGGAAGAGAGGCACGGGATGGTTTCTCCCTGAGAGCCTCTAGAAAGAACCAACCCTACCAAAAGCTTAATTTTGGGTTTATGTCCATCTGAACTGTGAGAGGATAAGTTTTTGTTATCATAAGCCACTAAAGTTGTGGTGATTTGTTTCAGTGCCCCTAGGAAACCAATACAGGTCAGGTCCATTCTTGGTTCAGGAGAGGCAGCGTACCTTAACTGACAACTTCACTGTAACAGAATGCAGTAGGGTAGAGGGACTGCTCAAAAGAAAATACAGTGGTTGTCATCAAAGACTGTGGGCAGAAACCACAGGAATGCCTACTACCTATTGAGACTCATACAGTTTTCATTGCATTCATTTATTTTTCTGGGATGCTGGGAGATGAGGATAGGACATGGGCTGTGTCTTGCACTTGCCTCAGGTGACATTTGAAGCCCATCCTCAGATTTCCCAAGTTATAACTAGTAATACTACAAGTCTTTTGGGGAAGAGTTGGTGGTGTAGTGGTTGGCAAAAGATACCAGAAGACAATGTACAGGACAAAGACCTTGTTCATATGGGTCTGGAAGCAAGACTCTGAAATGAATGAAAACTTAGTATTGTAAATTGTTGTATTAATTAAAAGCAGCTGGGAATCATGAGCCCAACCTCATACCTGACTGAGACATTGTGACAAATGTAGGTTGCACATCACCAAAAGAGGTAGCCCACATGTAGAGAGATCATGACAGGGTAAGTGGAAATTGTAGATCTCGTCTGGGTGAGTCCCCTTAAGTTCTTAGGTATTTGGTGGCCAGAGTGGTATATGTGTATTTATTTCCATTGTAAATCTAATGGCAACAACAACAACAACTAATATTTATTGAGGGCTTCCTATGAACAAACAACTGTGCTAATGTGTTACGCATAAACCACCTTATTTAATCCATAAACAACTCAATGTTGTTGATATTGTTAGTGGCTATGATTTTGGGGTGAGGAAATGGAGATTAAGGCTGGCTAAGCAACTTGCATAGGGCCACATAACTAAGTGGTGGTGCCAGGATTTGAACCCTGAGTCTTGACCCCAGAATCTAAATTCTTGACTAATTGTTTAGCTGGTATATGCTTTATTGTGAATATGTATATAATTTCATTAAAGAATTATCACCTGTCTTTGTCATTGTTATAATCTTTTCTTCCAAAGCTCAGAAGCTGTGCTCATGTGTTATATCTTCCTTGGAAACTTTCAAATGCCAATGGAGTGACCAGAACTTTCTTTGTGCCATGACATGTACTGTCTGCTAAGCTAATCTCTTTCCTACTGGGGAATATGTATAACGAGAACTGGTTATAGCTAGACTGAAAATCAATCACCAAGGTCACTGACGATGCTTAAAAAAAAAAAATCAAAAGCAGTTAGCATACAAATGAAAGTGATTCCCTATAACTCTATGTGGGACAAATTTCCTGAACCACACCAATAAATCAAGACTGTTGAGGCTCAGTTATAAAGGAAGATAGATTGAAC